CCTTAGGTTTAGATTAATTAGATGTAAACCACTGATTCCCGGTTGTCCTGAATGTGCGATCATTCTGATGCGTNTCCGTACCGCTGTCGTGCCCAGGTCGATGGCTTTGCCTTTCTTGGCACTGACGCGCCTAGCTCCGCGCAGCCTTCCTTTGTTCCTGGATGGGGCTTACGTGGCGTGGTGAGGTGTCGCCGAGCTATTGTGTTGTCCTTGCGCTTGCGATAGACGGGCCCGTCTCCCCGCAGGTCCCTCTTCGCACTGGCGGCCTCGGCCTTCATGGGGGTCCGCTTTCCTTGGTTGGATTGTCGGCTCCATCTCTCGAGTCTCCGCCTTTGGCGCCTTCTGTGGGTTATCCGTTTGCTGCCCCCTGTTCTGTGTGCAATGTTGGCTGATTATCGTGTCTCGCTTGCCGTAGGAGTTCTTTCTTGGCCCTGGGGTTGTCACCGGCGCCGCCGCCGGATCCGCTGGGCCCCCCGTTAGCCGGCCTTTCCCGCTGGGCGTTCCTGCCCAGGTTGGTAGAGAAGTCCTTTGGCTGCTGACCCTGCTCTAGCGCTCTCATAAGCGATTCTCTCGGACTGCAGGCACCTGCCCCCTTGGGTGTGGCTCGCGGTCGCCTAGACCAGGTTATCGCTCGGCTCCACCCTTCGCCCCTCATTTCAGCCGCGGATCAGGAAGCGTCTTACCAGCGGGGTCTGGCCGCGGCCAACCAGATGCTCCTTGGTGCCCTAGCCTCTTCTACGGTGTCCCGCCAGGATGGTGCCGTCACCGAGTTCCTGAGTTGGCTTTCCAGCCATGGTCGTGGTCGGGACTGGTGGAATTGTACGCCAGACGACGTGCTCGTCTATATGACGGTTTGGTGGCTGCCCCGGCATCAGGGCCGAAGTGGCGGCCCCGTTGGGCCTGCCGCCGTTAAGTCCCACCTGTCCTGCCTGAGTGGTTTCTTCAGCCGTGTGGGCCGGGGTGGTCGATTCGACGTCTCCACCGGCCAAGGCAACCCTTGCGATTGCATCTGGGTTGAGGATTTCCGCGCGTCGTATCAGCGGTCCCAGGTCGCCGGGGGTTACACCGAGGTTTCGGCAGTACCCTTGTCTTATGACAAGTACCGTGCTCTCGTGGGTTACTTGTGGTCGCAGGTGGTGGTGACTGATGAAGCTTTGCCCCGACTGGTCTTCCTGCGGGACCTGTTGTGCGTGCTTCTCCTGTGGCAGACTGCCCAGAGGGGTCACGATATCGGGAAGCTGGGGGTGGGTGACTTCGTCGAACCTTCGCAGCCCGACCGGCCGTACTCTGGGTTCCCGCTACCTCCGCCATGGTCCTGGGGTCCTGGTGGATGTCCTACCCTCTGCTTCCGTCAGCGGGGAACTAAGACCTATCGGCTGGTGCGTGGCCCCGCGGTGCTGCTGCGGCCCAACAGTGAGGACCCCCCTTTCT